TGTTCACCAGTTAAAGATTTATATGATCAGCTTTGAACCATACTTAAGATTTGAAAGTTAATGATACTAACAGGTTGCCGAAATCGAGTTGTGTGTAAAGCTGCATTTTAACTTCCTATCAGACGGAGGCTGAGTGCTTCTATCATTAAGTTAACACGAGTCACATATTATCAGTTGGTATATGGTAACAAAAACACTGTAATAGTTGAGAATCTAAATCATTAGATAATAAAAGATTTTACAAGACGAAGATTATCTTAGTAAAATATCATGGAACTACATTATGTTCTGCTAGGAAACATGTCAATCCATTCTTACGATACTGTCCAAAGAAATTCATATGTAAGCCTGTGTTATTCAACTTATAGTGGATCTGAATGGTATCTGCTTTGTTTAAAAACCAGCGTAATTATAGCAAAGCCTGTCATAGGACATGTACATAGTTTTCAATAAACTGGGTGATCCTGTCAATAGTCATATGTTTGTCTCAGAGATTGAAGCACATATGTCTAAGTTCATAACATACTTCTGTGAAATATTACTAAAAAGATCATCATCAGAAGTTTCATTTCTTTAAAAATTTAATAAAGGTAACATTATTTAACTACTTTACAATAGATAAAAACTTTCTAGATCTCATCTGGTTACGGATTATAGCTAAAACTAAAAGTGTGTCATGTCTCCTTGAAGTCACTAACTTCTAGTCTGAGCAATGTTGGTGGATGTATACTACTTGACTGCGGTCAGCGTGACTTTCGTAACCAATGGTTGGAGATTCCGGGTGATATGGCTCGGAATCGATCACAGTGGCGTAGGTGTATACACTCTGTCTTCCCTTAAACTATGAGATTAAAATCGCTTCATATCTTTCTTTCTACCAACTAATATTTTCTTCCTGTACTATGTCCTTATATACAATCTTATTTTATCTATTACCACCACTAAACTGACTATTATGAATCCGGTGTTCATCTTGTTGTGTTAATGAGGTATGGCAACTTAGACGGATGCACACATGTGCCTGGTCGTACGTTGTAGCTGACTGACTGACTGATGCCATGTCTCTTTTCACAGTTAAAACTTAATTCAAAACGTGAGCATTTACAATAGTTTAAATGATCTGGACACCTTTATTATTCGGTGGTGAGTATTATTTCTCTATCCTGAAGAATTGCAATCAGAATGATTGCAGTGGACAAATTACCGTTTAATTGCTGAATTAGTATTATCAATTTTTAAAAAAATAACTGATAATGAGAAATGACGATAACGTTTTACCAACTTTTTTTAGTATATGTCAGTTTGATTAAACTATAGTTTTCTGGATACAAGAAAATCTTCTTTGTACTTACACTATCATACGGTTTATTAACAAAAAGAAAGACTAATGTTTTGACATAACACCCACTGAAACCCAACAGCCCATTATTCAGAAAATAAATATTTCTTCACTAAAAACACAGTAATTTTGCAAATAGCACAGAAATAAATTCACAGAAAAAATAGTGATCATTGTTTTTCCAGGTTGACATAAATTATTACCTATATAAAGGAGCCCAAAACAAAATCGAGATGAAAGAATACTTACCTAAGTCAAATAATTTTGTTATAAAAAACTATATTGATGAATGGACCAAATACTTTATCTGTTGAAACAACTTCACATAACTGTGTGAATACTAGAGTCCATAACCTTGCGACAGTAGTCTTCAGGTGACATTAAGGTTAACATCAATTTTGAAGAGAGGATATGAAATATTTATCAAATTTTTAAATTCCTAGCCACTATATGTCTTTCTGATGCATTGCAATGCTTTAAAAATATTCACGTTTACAATCCCGTATTAAAAAGTTTATGTTATTTTTTTTATGACCAGTTTATTAAAAATCGTATTATCGTGTATTGTAAAATTACAAGAAATTAATTTACTTCAGCACCGAAAGACTGTTCTAAATCATGAATTTTTATTGTCAGGGAAGTTGAAAAATAAATCTTACTATTAAGAAAGTGCTTAGATTAAAAAAGTGATATTCGTACCAAATTCAATTATCGAAGTAGAACACAGTAACTAGCTAATAGCATCATGATGGTATTTAGGGTGAAAAATTGGTGCATTAGCTTACGATAAAAACCAATTATTGTTGCATAATGTTTTTCTCGAAAGCAAATTACTCGTCTAACAACTAGGCTTTCAGTTCAGTGGATAAGATTAGCAACAGTTCTGCTCGATCAACATGAATACTTTTAAGTAGCATATAAATCATCAACATTTTTGATGGTCCAGTTCTGCATAGACGTTGTCTTCTTTAAACCGTTTTGAAAGTTTGTTGAATAGAATTGTACATGCCTCCAGTAACTTGAGCATAATCCAATACTAGTTACTAAAATTTTAATAGGAGCTGCGACCAAAGGAATTCAGCCTCGTGGGATGTCACTTATCCAGAGCCATCACACAATGAAACAGTCATAATCGAGGCTGCACTTGCTTAACTAACGTTGAAAATATTCTCGCGCCTCCAAGCCCGTCTCTGTTATCTGCCATGCGTCATGTTAGTTGTTTAATTACAATAGTTGTCTAAGTTTTGTTCGAGATTTAGGTAACCATATCTGATTTAATGGCTTAATAAGTACTGAACTTTAATATAAGTGGCTTAATCTCTGGGATATGCATATAACTACTTATAGGATAACCTAGTTCATTCACAACTGTATCATCAGGACAAATGAAATCCATCACTTAGGGAAACAGTTTTGTATATGAAATTAAAACAATTCTACCTATAATGTCAAGCTTGAATGGAATATATTTCTCTGAAGTTAAGTAAAAAGGTTGCTGGTCAGTTATGGTATCTATTTTCAAATTCCTTAAATGATAACAGTATAAAATTTTTCAGCGAATTAAATTATGCAGTTATTTTACATCTGGATAACAGTCAACTGTCAAGGAAATTCAGTTGATGACAACTTTCAGGATGTTTTCTTTGTATAGTACTTTTAACCAAATAGACATACACAATTCATCATCTAGTCGATAAAATTTGTTAGGCATCGAAAAAAAATACTACTCTCTAGATGGTAGCACATGTACGTTATCCAAAAAAATGTTTAGTTCAGTGTCATATGAGTAACTTAGTAATAAGCCTACGACTGATTCATGCAAAGGGAAACTATAAACTGTGTTAGTTGATTTTTTCCACTCTCAGATATGTAGGTCATTTACAGAGGAAATCAGCATAATGTCACAACAATGCAGACACAAATCAGGAAAATGTAAAAAAAGCGTGTAAGCTGGAAAATCGATATAATGAAGACACCAGTTAATCCATGATAAATAAACAGATAAGAGCTTTCATCCAGACAAATAATTACTTGAAAGTAGTTTATTTTTGTTAATGTATTTACTGTCTTATTTTCACTCTTTCTGACAAATAGATTTTAGATGGTGAAATATGAATTTACATGCTATATATATGTTCAATTTTACATCTAATATTCGTAGTTTATGCATTCAATTATTGTCCAACAAATAGGATTACTAGAATATATACACATTCATAGTGATTTTGTTTCGTGTAATCTTAAAGAGTTGAGTTTTGTAAACAAAATAAAAATAAAATAATTTTTTATGAGATTCACTCTCTTGGGAAACATAAAGTTAAAAAATTCTATATTCGTTTGAAAAGTAACGAAAGAAATGCCAATACAACGAAATTTACTGTCATGACATGAATCACATGAACTCTTTGTCATCTTAAAAGGTGCCATAATTAAACTATGAGTTCCTTTCTTCTCAGGTTCGTGCTCTTTATTTTTATCAAGGCTAGCAGAATAAAATTAGCGATTATCGTAAAATTCTTACGCAAATATACTTTCTGTTTTGCCAAATCACTTACTATGGAACTGGGTGACTAAAGTGGAATTAAACCATACACCTCAAATGAATGATCAGTCAATAAAACGGGAAATCTCAATTTAATTACGAGCATAATTCAAGAGCTTCTTGTAAGTCTCTACCATAACTATCCTTACTAACTCTTGAATATAAAATTGGGATTTTGTTTTCGTTGTTGGATTAAACTCCGTGTCATAAAGTTTCTCTTTTTACATACTAGCATTCAGAAAATATTTAAATCAGATTTTAGCATTCATAATTCCTAATTGTCTTTGTGTAATTTCAAAGATATTACCCACTTTATTGATTCGTAAGAGAATATAACCGAGATTAGGCATATTAATTACTTAACTCTGTGAATATCACTATACAGTACTTACAAACCAACCTGAAGACACCTGATCGCAGTCAAAATGATCAACCATACTTAAAACTTTTAATAAACGCAGTGGAAAGTTTTCAGAGAATTTTCTAAAAGGTACTTCTATAATGCTTGACCACAATATTCAAATGAAAGTAATCACTGACTGCTTCAGTGTAGTAATTTATTTATTATTAATTTTACTGCCAATTAACTTATCAGTATTTCCTTCTAACTTACAAAACTATCCAAGCGTAAATACCCATTACATTAAAAAAATACTCAGTAACAAACGTTTTGGTAAGCCACAGTTTTTATTATAGTATTACTAATGATCATTGTTTACGACTACAGCTCTAGTGGTTATCACTTTCCAAATAATGACAATTTTCCATTTGGGAATTGAAATCGCCGGGCGAACCGTTAAAAAACCGGAGAGAACTGAATAGGAACGTTTAAGATATTTCATCGATTACTGTTATTCCGTGATGAAATATCATAAAAGCCACTTATCTGGAAAGTATTAATTATTCAACCGACTGATTGTTGAAAAAGCTGACTTCTATTTAGGTGTTTCTGATCCAGACTTCATAAATAACAATGCATTCCACAAATTTTCAATAAACATTGAAATGTCTATAAGTTGATAACTTAGAAAATATTTTGCCGTGAAATATAAATCACGTCTTTGCACTACAAAATTATTTATGGTAATTATTCAAAATAAAATGACTACAACTACTCACGTGCAAGATTGTGAAGTTCTCCAAAACGGAATTCATTAATTCTCGCTGAGGCAATTGTAATAGCTTCCCAATAAATTTCTTCATATAATCACACATAGGACTACGTAAAAACCGATATACAAAACGTCCATTTTCGGGTCTAGGTTGTTCATCCTTGATTTTACAGCAGGAACAACAAAATATTGAATAATAAAATGAAACATTGAACAGGTGTCTTCCATTATGCATGATATTACGTTTTTAATGATGTTATTTGATAAAATATTAATCATATATTCTGGCATGAACTGATTTAATACAAGCCAAATAACGAATTTAAACATACCAATGTAAATTTTTTTAACCTAAAATCTTACAGACTCATCGTGCGTTACTTAACCAAAGACTGATGCCAAAAATACAGTTGGGGAGTATCACCGCAACTAAATAATAGCGAAATACACAATCTGAGTCAGTGGCATTTCCAGCAACTAATCATATTGCAATGCATGTACAGTGAATTTATCATTTAAAGCACGAGTTGCAATTTATACTTAATAGGATGCAAAATGTGTAGATTAATATTGGGATATGCGTTTGTTTAAATATTTGACCCATTCAACGACAAGACTTTATTATTGGGACATGTTACCCTATGGAACGTCTTTATAAATTAATATATTCGGTATATAACTCAAAATACTCAGTAGTACATGACCTGAAAACTAGCTGCATTTTACCTTGATCATTTCATAAAATTTCAAGTATAAAGATATTGACTATAAAGTTCACAATTTTCTAAAGATTGATAATGTATTAGCGGTCGTTTGCAAATCATTACAGCAGTATCGACAAATCAACAGTAAATGTACACAGTGATCATAGTCAACTGATAATATAGTAACCTGAAAATTAATGCTGAGTGAATCTCGACATAGTGACTCAGACATCGGTTATCGAATTCCTGGGTTGTCACTTTCAATACCATTAATTATCTGAATTATATTCAGCGATCAGTGCCTTTGATGAGTACATTTATTCGGAGATAGCACTCGTTAAAAATTGATATCAACCAAAGAACTATTGGAAAACAAATAGCAATACACAGTTGCTTCATTTCATAGTCTGTATTCTCTATCAGCGAGATCTAAATGTTCTGAATTAGGTCCCGCGTTTCGTGGTTTGTGAAGGCTTCTGAAGAGTTTTAAACTATGATAAAACGCGTCTTCAACACTCCATGGTTTATAGTTATTCAATTTATTACATGAGCCATATTTAATCTATCCGACAATAATTCATTCCGTTTTCATCTGTTTTCACATGTTAAAATTTACTTTTAAATTCATTAAAGCTTTAAATTATTATAGGTGAATGTGAACACTTGCCGTTAGTATGATGATTTACACTAGGTTTGGTGATATCCAAAGGCACGTTGTCTAATATGAATTCTCTCTAAAGTCTTTTACATACTTAAACATGCACTCATTCACCATTTTAAAAAATACAGTTTTATTCTGCGTATGAGAATAATAGCCTGTACTGAAATTGATTACAATATTAAATATGCTCATAACAAAACGTCAAGACAATTTTTATTATCGTGCTTAAAATGTATCTAATAATTAACGTTTCTGGTTTGTTTTTAAATGATTCATTAGATGAATTCGTACCCGTCTATATCATCACGCTGAGTTAATGGTAAACACACACACATTCACTCAAACATATTAACGATTTACACTAGTAAGCAATGAGCCGGCTCGTACGCTTATCTGTGTAAATACATACACACAATTAGTATGATTATTAGTTTTTAATTTTACTAGTAGTAAACACAGAGACGTTATCAGTTTACTGAAAACATTTATAAAAAAATGATATGAGAATAACTAAATATTTATTCTTCAAATTAATTACTTAAAGTAATTCATCACATTTTATCGTCATTGTTTTCTCGGAGAGAAAAAAATGCCAGTAATGATAATAAACAAAATGAAGTTGGATTTCTTCTTATTAAGTACTAACTAGTTACAAAAATTGGTAAGCTTGAATACTATGTAACTATCTAATCAATCAATGTTTCTAATAATGACACTTTACGAAGGAAATTGTAGTAATATTTACAATATAACATAACACTATAATATAAAGAGAAGGAAAACCATGATTTTCATACCTCTATTTTTTCTAATACTTCTTTGCCAAATGAGCAAACTTTAGTTGATAAGTTAATTGGAACGTCTTCCGTACCCTCGAAACTAATAAAAAAGAAAGCAAATAAGAGGATATCATTTAACAAGAATTTGTACATTGACATTCAATAGAAATACTCCTTCCTGAAGTTATCCAGCTGTAATTCTTCTGTGATTTTAAAATACTGTAAGATGTAGTTTTGGTTACTTGGATAGTAGGATGTCAAAATTATATTCCTGAATAACAAAGCTGTAGATGAAACTAGTCAACGTGACTTTTCACTATATCTTTTTTATATGGTTTATATAAAAATAGAAACTTCTAAAGTTACTCTAACTAGTTAGTACAAAGTGACATTGTGTGTTTATTATGTTAACTGGATTATTTTAATCCCTTATTAATTGTAATGCATTCCACTGTTTCTATTATTTTTCTTTATATTTTAAATTATGACATTGTTGCTGAATTCCACGCAAAATCTGTTACCATTATACAACAGTCTGTTTATTATCCATCTCCACTACGAGCCTACTGTAAGGATTATTTCGTCCTAGTAAAGGGCTTAACAATAATGTGAATCCATGAACCCACTAAAAGCATTCTAATATACATCCCGGTGCAAAGCAGTGAACACATGAATTATCTTTTCCATAACCTTTGAAAATTTTACACATCAATTAAGGTTTCCAGTCGAAGGCAAAGCTCTACCCTTCTAGTTAATCCATGAAACCCCACTTTATATGTCAGGTAAGTATGTTAAATATTTTCTTGTCTTACGTATATACATTTAAAAGAAGTACAACAGTATAAGTCTCAGTATGATCTGTTGCCATGAGTTTTAGTTAAGTATGAAATTTCGAAAGAAAATCTCATATTTATTAAGTTATATAATAGTTCTTAGATGTACACTCTTAAGTACTAGTGATTCAAGCAAATTGTGTATGATCTATCAATATAAGATTACTTAAAATTGTTCAATATAATCATCTCTGACTAATCATCTTGATTAATAATGGTGATGAAGTAATTAAAAATAAACAAGTAAATCCCTTTCAATAGACTAATCAGTTGTTTTTGAACATATTTGTATTGAAACTTGAAAAGTATAAATCTCTATTACCAATGGAACATAATTAGTGAGTCATTACATTATTGATTACGTTGTACAAGCTTAACTATCATGGATTGAAATATTGTAACGAATAGATTAAACTACTACAAAGTGTATTTGAGTTACATATTTTGCAGACTTTTAAACAGACATTATGTGATTTTTATGAACCAATCCATTGTCATCAATTAAATATTCCTTCCGCTCTGAAATAGGCAAACTTCTTGGTGTGTAAACTATGTTTTTAAACAGAGAACAATAGCATGGATCCTTTTAAAACAAAGGTAACTGATAAAGAGACTACTAACAACAGTAATCTCAATAAATATGCTCATCAATAATATAAACTCACATAGCTGACACAGCGAATGTGGCATCTGGTTCAACCATCACATTAACATCAGCCTATATCCAGTAACGATCGGACGAACAAACATTGTATGAAATAGAGAGAAAAATCACATTAACATTATGAAATACACAACCATAATAATAACAATAAGGAAGAAAATCGTAAGATGGTGCACAATGTATCACATATTTACACAAACACATAGGTACAACAACAATAATTGTTCTGTTTGTCTAAGCTCACCATATAATACACTGCTTAATGAGCAAATTATAGATCCTTCATCATGACAAAAAAATGTATTACATTCATTAACTGTGAACTAACATGAAATATTAGTATTTTTTCAGATTTCAATAAGAAAATCTAAATCATTTTGGTGAAAACAACATAGAAAAATTACAGTAAATAAACATTAATAAAGTAAGTAATGTCTCCACGACAACAACAAATAAAGATTACTTTGATAAAAACAACACAAAAGACATTGACTAACTTCTTATACCTTGTACGACAAAACATACTTTGAAATACTATAGAAACAAGTAGAGCTTATATGTGCAATTCGTAAACAGTTGAATCAATAAATTATCATCAATCCAACCAACTACTATTATAACATGGTTTAGTAAATAAAATTTAACAACACACTATGATGCATTGACAATACTAATTTGAACAAAAAAAACAACTGTATTGAGAACATTGAACAACATAAAACTAAAGTATACTTATGTATTATATTGTTTTGTCAATAGCTATATTTAATATAGATTGGCAAATTCTATTATAAATCACCTTTATGAAAGACACATACAATAAACACGATGTTATTAAGTTTGTTTTATATTGTTTGTTGTTTATTTTTACTCTGCTGATGAAAATCATTACATGAGATGTTGAAATTCCAAATCAAATAGTAGACAACAGAAATTTCTGGTCTGAAAGATTATGCTTGAAGAAGAATGGTAAACAACATTTACAAATACCATTGAAAAAGTGTAAATAAAATTTAGTGAAGTATAAATATACACATATAAATATATTTGATTCCCTCCACATTTATTGACAGTGAAAAAAGGTTTGTAGAATGTAGTTACTTTTCTCTTTCGTCAGACCTTTCATCATTGACAAATCACCTAAATTTAAGTATGGTCGGATACAAAAGTATGACCTCATTTAGTTTGGGTAGTTGCGACATGATTTTGTCTTATTCCTCTGAAACGTTCGTTTACTTCAAACTCCCATCTCAGTTTCATGAACTGAATTATGCAAGACAATTAACAAGATGAAAGTAAAATTATTCAAAATAATAGTGTCAGTGATAGCGAAAACTAATCAAGTAAATTAATCCTAAAAAAACCAGTAAATACTAAGCATGAAAAGTATGAATTAAAAATAACACTGAAAATCTCAACTAACATAAAAGAAATCGGATCTATGCTGTTGTTTACAATGTTAATCAACGATTTGTTGAAGGTTATTGCAATTGGCTCTGCTTAACAGAATTTGTATGACAGTATGTGATACCGTGGGACTGTGTGAATCAAAGTCGATCAAATGGGGTGAGAACTTGTATCCCATTAATTATTTAAAAATGATCCATGATAATAAGTGCGTGGTTTTAATCATATGTGCGTACTGGGCACTTCAATAACCTCAACGAATAAAAAATTAAAAAGTAAACGTTTTGTGTCGTTGAAATTAGTCAGAGACATTTGGGATTGTACTATACTGTTTGATTATCTTTCATTAGATAATTTGAAGACAAACGCCGATTATTAGGCTTTGGTCATTGATATTTACCACTCAATTTTTCAACATCACTATAATGATATGTGATATGACTTGATCAGAAAATACGGATTTAATGGATAAACCATTAATGACTCTCAAGTATAACACACACTATTGAAAGCTTTGTGTAAAAAAATAAACTAAGATGAAATTTCTATTGAATCACATACATTGTAAATACAAATACTATCTGTAGACGTTAATTCGCAATTTTTCAGCTTTACATACTACACTTTGACTTATGTCCGATTATAGAAAATATAAGCTAATTTTCATTTCATTCTTATTATTTTTATACTAATGATTGTGAACTTTGAAAACACTTCATAGATGATTTTCTTCATAAAGGTTTGGCTGTTCTTGCTTCCTATATTCAGGACTGAAATGATCAGTTTCTGTTGGCACATGAGCTCCACAGACAGTTTTCATGGCATATCCTGAATTTGTATGGAGATAACGGTTTCGATAATTTACAACAATATAAAGCAAGTGGACATAAATGCGTATATTAAAATGACCAGTTGCAAGTAGGATGAAAACTAAACCTAGATTTCCCATGATAGTCTCTACTAAAAATACATCATCATTAAGTCACTCTTCAGTCACATCAAGAATTACTGAACTAAAATCCAGAGTTTTCAAAACTCGTTTTAAATGGTCAAAAATAAGTAAACTAAATTACTATTTAACATGTATAGATATCTCAACTTCTTCAAACATGCAAGAAAGTCAAAAATCACTGGTATAATTTGCTAATAGCTTCCTGATTAAGGTATCTATTTCATTATATGTTTGTTTTTGTGATATTGTTAAAGTAAATCTTGTTTCATTTCAGCTAAAATACACACTGGATCATTGTTTGTATCCGTTAAGGTGTGTTCATTTCATTTATGTACAAAGGAGTTTTATTAAACAAAAGCCTTAAGAAATCCAAAATGTAATTGTTTTTTTAATAATATTTATCTCTATTTTTGTTTACTAACCTCAAACAGTCAAAATAAAGCGGCTGTTAGCAAAATTATGAAAATCGAAGTAACTCGAAGTAACAAAAAACAAACTGGCTAACTGAAAATTTATGAATTTAACATGATTTTAAGGCGTTATACATTAGTAAACAAGCGAAAAAAAGTGAAAACAATACAAAAAATTGTATTGAAAATTTCTTCTGAAAAGTAAATACATTTCAACATGAAACTACATGCGTGAAGTGTTTAGGTAAAATAAACCAGGTAATAGTCTATCCAAAATAGTTTGTGATAAAATATTTTTAATCTAAAACAGATGAAAAGAAGAATGAAATTCACTCAAAATAGACTGAAGGATCACAGTTTAACATTAGAAATTACACATTCGCATAAATTTTGTTTATGAATTTCCTTAACTATAAGTAGGGTCTATACAACACAGTACTGAACACTGATTAACATGATTAATCGAAGATAACTAGTTTTTTACAGAAATGTTCCCTAGTTAGATTAAAGTAATATAAAATTTCTATGAACAGCATGCTTCTTTTATACTAAGATCATGAGCATTGATTCAAGTCACAAAAACCGATTGGAATTTCAGTTAACTTCATTTATTCATTTGAAAGAGCTAAACAGATGGAGACAGAAATTTGATCGGTTCGTACTTTGCGGTGAATCAGATTAAATAAAATCCTTCTAAGCTAATCACAACACTCTATTCTAAAGTTTCTATGAATAACATTGGTATTATTTTTAATTTTTAATCACCTACTGAGTATCGAAATTAATCAGATTCAAAATTCTCAATTTAAAGAAATTATTAAGTTTTTAGAATTTTTTTAAAAAATAAATTAGGTCCTCTTCTACCATATTTTATTTATTTGTCTAGAACTACTCTCGTGAAATTATTTATAATAATAAACTAATATATAGAAAGCATTAAAATAATCAGTAGCACACAGCATGAAAAGATTTTTCTTTACTGGTCATCGCTTTTTTGTATGTTAAAATTATTTTCATATTAATAATAATATGAAGTAGGATATTTGAAAGTTCAAATTATGCGTATAATTTTATACATGATCAACCTTTCTATCCATCTATCAATCCATTACAAAGAAAGGAATGAATTCATCCATTATTTTAGTTCTCATGTTTTTTTGCGTACTTTATGTAATTAATCAATTAGTTAATTTGTTTATTTACTATTTTATAGTTTTTACTGAATGATTGTTAAACATTAACATTTCATCACCACCATCATCATCATTTATAACTAACATATTTTTAGAAACCATTTTAAGCCAATCGTAGTAACTATTTAATATTACTTTCTCACTGAACATGTTTCCATGTTGAAATGGTTTGACCTGAAGTCTACTAGAATAATATCAAAAACAAGGAGGCATTAAACGACAAAGACAGAAATCCTCTTCCACGATAGCTTGAGTGATAGAACTTTGAAACCGGTTCAACATGATTAGGTATTGTGAAAACGCCAAACCGAAAGGAGGAAACAACTATTTAATTTCTATTAATTTTCAGTAGTTCTCCAGTTGACATCAGTTAGTGATAAAAATTGTCTTCGAAATAGACAAAACATTCCACCAAACCATCTGACTTAAAATTGTGGATAATCACTTTCAAATAAAACATGAACTAAGTAATTATGTAAACTGTCGTTTTAGATTTACATCGGTGTGTATAAAATATGACATATATATTTACGTCATATGTGAAAGTTTATTACTAAACTCATCTAATTGTTACAGCGATATTCAATGCATAGACTAGAAACAAACAAAGAAGTTATCAAGCTCATCAGAACATGAGCACAAGATACTTCCAGCTATTATAATTCTCTGAAGACTGACATAAATCAGTAACCACTTTAAATAATAAGAAATATCTCCATTATCTCCATTATGTAATTATGAACTACTTTTAGTTTAGTTAACAAAATACAATACTTATAACATTTGTTACCTTAAACTTAATCTTTGTTCAATCTTGAACCCTAAGTGCTGATTGACCTTGACAATAATATTGTATAATCCTATAATAAATTGTCAAAGTAATTGTCAATTGTTATCAGACCTCTTCATGTATATTACACAGAATTTGATACACGTCCAAATAGTTTTAGTGAGTATGCACAATCAATAAGTATAGCTTTTATTGAATACATTTAATACTAACATATAACCTGTTTTCATAAATATCAATATACAAAGCCCTAAAAAATACAATTTCCCGAAATTGTATTTTTTACTGTGCTCATAATTAAAACTGAAACAATAGTTTACATGACAATGCTTAAACTCTAAAACATCTCGACTAACATGGAAATAGCCTACAAGCTTAGAACAGTAATTATGGATGACTGATGATTGTTATAGAATAAATCGAAATGAGGGAAAGCATAAGTTTCCATATGAAAAACACTATAGAAGTAGTATGAGTTCTCAGATGGCTTTTCTTAGAAAAAAATAATTCAGTAGTAATAGAATATATTATTTATCAATAAATAATCCCTTCATTTTTATAAGCATTAAATCAGAAATCATTTGGTGTCTAACTGACATACATCGACTGGATCACATGCTTTAATAAGGTAATTGCTAAAATTCAACAATCGTAATAGTCAAATTGTCAGTACTTGTTTCAGGTATTCAGTTAAAATCTCCGATAGAAAGACAAAGCCATTAAACCTATCATTTAGTTTGATTTATGTGGTGTCGAATAATTTAGAATGGATTTCATGATTCTATACACTTAGGTTTCTTTGATATAGACATTTAACTTAAAGTAACCATAAATTAATTCTTCGATATATCGACGCTATTAAAAATTCAATTAACTGAATGTCAACGAACACAAAACTATAATCCAGAGTTTTGTATAAAGTAACTCTGTACACAAACTATAAAATAAAGTTAGACAAATTTCCCCTATATTAGCATTCATTCAGTTTGAAGTGAAAAACATGAAGATTAAAAACAAACTCAACTTGCATGTGACTGGATAAAAATAAAAATGCAAAATTCCTTATTAATTGTTTGGCTGGTGATTTCATCAGTCAGTCAAACGCAACGTAGAACTATGTGCTTATGTACATTGATTCAAGTAACTATATCTCATTAGCATACCGAAATGAATTTATTAAGAGAAATCTCTGAGTAGTAGAGGTAGTAACATTATTAATTGTAATAGAAAATATTATCCATCGAACATTCACTTCGGAAAAATATAAATTGGTGAAATAAAAACATTATGAGCAATTCAGCGGCTAAGAATCTGGGGGAAGATGAAAAGTAAATGCACCTGTGCCATTCCAAATAATTTTGAGACATGTCATTCAAAGTTTCTAATCACTAATATGATAATCACACAGGCCTCAACCAGCTGGTCTACACCTATTAAAATAGCTCAGTTGAATCGTCAATGAACTGACGAACTAGTATGCATCATTACCAAGGTTTGATTTGATAAGTGAGCATTGGGTAGATTGTTATAAATAAATAATATCTTTGTGATATCCCAATGAATAGAAAATCTAATTTTCTACTCATTGGGATATCACAAATATATTATTTATTTATCACGGACTAGTGCCTTGTTTTGGTTATATCAATGCAAACTCAAGCAGACCATCACATAACCATAATTTTTATTTATAGTTCTCTACATTTCGTTTTAAGATAAAATAATAAGCCCCTGACCTTTTACATAACAAATGTTTTACAGTCAAAACATACCCAGAATTTAACCAAAAAGAATGTATTCATAGGTCCATGTTCCATAAGTTCTTTTAGGCTGTCTTCAGGAAATTTATCCCAGATTTGGCTTGCATCCACTTGCTCCAAATTTGGGTCAGTGTATAATTGCTCGTTTAAAATGGGTCCAATGTGAACAAAATTGTGTACAACCGTCGTCGATTTTGGGGTTGTAGTTAAATGAAAATCATGTGTATGAGTTCCCTGTCGTAAAATCAAGGACAAAGAAGACATTTAATTAGCTATTCCTGAAAAGAACGTAATGATAGTCATGGGCTTTATCCTAAAATTCTGTATAAGAAAACTATTAAATTATCACATACAACACAGGATCTTTTGTAGATGTGGTGAATGGATAAAAATATGCTATAGAAATCAATCTTGTGAATATATATAACGTAGTAGAACTGAAGGATTTCGAGATAATAAAGCTATAATAATTTGTAGTCAGTAAAATGTTATTGTTATGATGTACTCCTGATTCTATTACTCATTACATGACCACATCGAGAAACTAATAATATGTGAAATTGTATTGACCAAGTTTCTTGTGTCAGTGAATTCATGAAAAGCAACTTCTCACAGTTTTTGTTTACAAAGGAGTACAATAATTATGTTTTGAAATTCCATGTTTGCAGTCTCAATATCCTAAAAATAATATGCTAAGTAGAAATTTGTTTAACTTTAAAGGCTTTTTTAAAAGAAACCATAAAACTTTGCAACCAACCATCTCAAAATGATGGAAGGTGAAATTCTGTGCATACATTCAGTGACATGCACCGTTGCTCATGAAAACAAAGAAGTTATTATATGAAAAATAATAAAACATGTAGTTCTGAATTTAATGCAATAATTTAGCCATCAAGAAAGAAATAGTGTTTGCTTAGCATAATAAGCACTTTTTCTTCCTTTAGTATTTTACGACAAAGTTTTTATATCTAAAAAAACTGTGTGCTTTAAGATTGCTGCATATTACAAAAATATTCATGTAAGTCCAAATTTACTAATGGTTGGTTATATTTAATACATTAATATTCGGGTTTGTCATCAATACCCGGCACATAATAAGATGTATATTCATTTTTATCATTATTCATATAGAAGTGTCATTAGCAAAACACATTATAAGCTGTACATTAACCCTCCAACTGTTCTCCTAATAAAATTTACTTAATCATTTTCACAGTTAATTTAAGGTGTAATTTGTGAACTATAACAAACAACTTGCTAGTTGATTAGATAACCAGATGAATATATGGCTTTTCAATATATATTGGTTTGAATACAATAATTACAAATTATTTACAGATGATAAATAAGTGTATTAGATTATGCCTTATACATAAAGAAATTGACAAATATTGAATCCCATTTTCACTCATACAGGCCTACACTTATGAGTTTTTACAATACTTGGATTGTCAGGATGCCAGACGTGTCCTCACTGTGAATCACCATCACCTATTTATGCGTATGAATTTTATGAAAGGTCGAAGTTAATTCACCTAACATTTACCAGAAAAGGCTTGTTCTGAAAAAGGAAAATAACACAGCGCTAATCATATATATAACATCAGATAATGGACTTCCACTACTTTTTATTAAAATATAAAATTTCTTTCAAGGTATTGAATTGTGAAAGAAAATTCCTTTGAACTGGTGTAAATGAATCTGATAAATTTAATTGTATTATTAACAAGAGAGCATGGTGTGTACATTTTATTCTGTGTTTTGCCAATTAAGGATTAAAAATCAGAATATATTCGCTTAATAATTCGTATTACAACTAATCCACACATATAGTTAACCACCTGGCAGCTTATTCAGTTCTTATTGAGATCATTTATCAATCAATGTTAAACCACCACTGAAAATTTAGAAGCACTGAACGGCCGTTTCGTCTAAATCCACGGTCCCACACGCAGGACTTGATGGTCTAACATTGATCGTTTCATGATCTCAATAAATGTTCAACAATCTCCACAACTTCATACTGATAATTATTATTTGTTCACTGGTGACTAGTTCCAAGAAGTAATTCTCGGAGTTCTACTGAGAAGTCGTAATCAGTGGAGTTCAACTGTGTTGGGTGTAGGACAGTCGCTCACTGAAGATAATAGATGATCGAGCAATATAGTGGATTGATTGAAGTTAAACATTAACAATGTTGGATACCGACCCACTGTTATAGAGGTTAAGCGTTCAAATGAAGATGAAGGTCCACAGTTCAACTCCCGCGTGCGAGATTGTGAAAAGTCTCTACCAAGGAGCCCCACACTGGGACGAAATGGTCATCCAGTGCTTCCAGGTCTTCGACGATGGTTTAGAATTTATTCAAAGTCATTGAATGTATAAGATAACAGATTCACTCACATCGTTTCGATGAAAATTTTCTCCACATTTCAATGTTATATATATATATATATATATATATATATACGCGCACAGTTTGTTATAAGCAAAGTATATTCATAAGCTCATATGGCGTCGTTTATTTTCAAAAGCAACTAAATATAACAGTCACTTAGGTTTGAAAAATAGGAAGAAATAAGCAATCAGGAATTTGTTTTTATTTTTTATTTATATATACAAAGCCAATGAATGTAGCATACCATTCTCTGAAAAAAAGAGAGAAATGTTACGTCATAATTTGGTCTATATTTGTGATTACCCGTGAACTAATATCATGTGCTCACGCCGACATGTGCACCCAGGTCAAAGATAATCGTATTTAAAAAAACGTATTAAAAACACATCTACTAATCAATAAATAAGTAAATATACAGACAATTAAATTTAATGATTCCCCGATTAGTTTTGATTTCACTAATAAACTCAGACAATTTAGTGTTTTGATTTGCCGTTTCATCAGAATAGCATGTTTTTTACTCTTAAAATGAATAATTGTTATAATAATGAAAATAGAAAAGGTAGAAAACTTAATCAAAAGGCTGTGGTTGTTTCAAAGGACCTAAGGTAAAACTGAACTTATTTTTCCATTGTCATTAATAGAGGCTACTAGAAATAGAATTTTAACTATATTACTAAAACTTTTTATTGAAATCTGCTTTAAAACTATTTAAAACGGCATATCTACAGCTATACTTTAGTATAGACATGGTGATCACTAAATAAAGTGTTAAAGTATTTAGAATATCTCCAAACTCTCATAAAAGTCAACCGCTTTTAACAAATAAACTATGACAGACAAAGACAAAGAAGTGAAAAGTATTTTACCAGTTGATAATTAATGAATAAGTGTATTAGACAAACGGTTATTAAGTTTGAGTTGAACATGATTATCATTATTATGTAAACTCTCAGAACTCTAACTTCACCAACGTTTAGAGATTCATCATGATATCGGTTAAAATGATTATATTAGCTTGACATTTCTGTGATCTGTGGGTAAGAAACAATTACTAGTAGATGATAGTGCAAAACAGTAGTGTTACACAGTACGCTGGATGAAGCTAAGAAACAGTATCCACAACCTATCTAAAAATATTTCCAAAACCCATCTATTCTTGAGAGAATCAAGAAGAAGCAGTAACTATCACCTGAACAATAACGCCGACGCAGTTTATATAATTATTTACTTCTCAAGGGGAAACAAATAACTTATGCGAGTCGCTGATAGAAATTTATTTGAGAATACCGCTAATAGAGCTAGATTTAAATAGACGTAATATATAAATACTACCAACACTATCCTCCTAGTTGATAAAACATGTCTTTTGTTGTTTAATCACAGATAACATCCGGTTGTTAGCTTCATCAGGTGATTTAATACTTCTTACTAACAATATAAAAAAGATGTTTTCTATACTGAGACAATGATTATTGAGTGATATAATTGTATTGTATTTTCTTTTATCATTCATACCCGGATTGCTGAAATTTGCATAAATTTGGTAGTGCCAAGTTGATTTAATTTCAAGAGTTATTTTACAATAGTAAAATGTAATCAAATCTAAGTTAATTTTATCCTTCAACACAATTAACATCGTGATGATCATTACTTTTACTATTAATAATGGGAACAATTTTATATTCAGGCCAGTAGAAGTTGTTGTAGTAAATCGATCAGGTAGTTTGCTGGATAGATTCACGGATTGGTAACTGGTATAGTCATTCATATACACATAAACTGTGTGTTATTTTGTGACTAGGCTTATATGGATGGCGTATATATATATATATATATGTCTAAACAAATTTTAGGTTCTAAACTAGCCTAATGTTCAATAGGTATGAAAGTCATACCAGGAAAGAGAAAACGTGAAATTTAACTATCCGTGGATAGGCACACATGCAAACGGAGTAAAAACGCCGAGATACAGTTACATGAATTATACTGGCACACAGCTGTAATTTCTTTTTTCAGATAAATCTAAACGTAATTGTATATTGTTTCCCTAGTTTTTTTTATTATTTCACTTAGTCCATTTTGTAAGAAACATTTATATAGAGAGAAATATATATGTAAATGAACACGTGAATACACTGAATGCAAGCACATTTCGTAGGTTGAATCGTAGGTGGGAAAATAGTACTTCTTTTTGTCAGCCAGATGAGCCAACCAAAACGAAAATACAAAAAATAGGAACATTGAAGTACCTCATTAAATTAGCATAAACTAAATTTTAGGTTAGTAAATATGGATCATGTTTGATATATGACAGGTATCTGAAACTGAATTTTATTGTGTTTGAATATGTTGGTCGCTCTAAATTATTAATGAATAGTAAATTTGTGTTAATGAGCCATACCGATAAATTCAGTCAGTATACAATGGGTTAAGTAACACGTTTTAATGAAGTATCGGATTCTAATCAAGCAGTTCATAGATAAGTTAAAATTAAATTGGCATTAAATAACGAAACGTTAGAAAAAATGACCAAATTAGTCGTCTATAGGTCAAGCATTCGGGCGTGAAGCCGAAGGTCCGGGTTCCGGACCCTGGTTTTGAGGTCGTGAATGCACACTTCTGAGGAGTCCCATCCAGTGCTTTCACGTTTTCAGTGGTTATCCGCCATTTCAATGTTATTACCAAGTTGCAAAATATATTCGTAACATTATAATTTAGATACCTAACATAAGAAACCAGTTTATACTTAAGTACTGAATATTGTTTGTCAGTTAATTTTCAATGAATTTTATGGTACATGACATTATTTGTGTCAGACGACACTGCTTAGCTCTTATTAAAAACAAGGACAATGGTATTTCTATCTAGATAGTCTTATTTAATGCATATGACTGATTTATTTTTCTCCAGAATTCATAAACATTAAATATCTTAGTAATCATTCTAGCATTAAGAGTCCTGCAACTAAACGATCATTATCTACCATTTAAAGATAGTATTTGAATATATATCCAATACCATGATGAAGAAACATGATGACGTTTTTGAAATGTATAATGTTGTACAGAACGTCCAGAGGTGATCCCATTTTCTTGAATTAAATGAGATTAATAAGACTAATCAGCAAAGTGAGGTTCACAGGTTCAAAATTATGTCGCTTGCAAAACCCTGAAATATGGTAAATTGCGTCAAGAACAGGACTATTCTCTATACTATCAAAGAGTCTCATAAAAGTTTACAAATTAAATTCAGTCTGACCGATTTCAAAGGACTGATGAAATTGTGTTTCTTTATAATAAGATAATCTAAGCACTATATTTACTATAAAGAAAGTGGAAGTAGGTTTAAACTACGATAATAAAACAATAAATAACTGCGAATTATATTAACTTACATTGGACTGGGATTTCGACGTTGAACTTATCATGTAGGCACTTAATTCAACCAATCTCATTTTAGGTGCTGTAACTGATCGTCCCATCCATTTGGGTATGTTGATATTTTTTAAATCCTCTGGTGTTGTATTAGTAACCATAGTAGAAACATTTACATTTGACAGTGATATATTTTTTTCTGCACTCTAGAAATTTTTTATGAGATACAAAATAGATAGTAAATGAACTTACCTCTACAATCATTTTTCTAGAATATTTCGGGGAATCTGAAATAGAATCATCGCTATCCCTTGAAGGATTCATTGAAGAATAAGAAATTTCTCGTAAGAAATTCATTGTTCCATCGTCACTTAGTTGTTTATTAGTACTTGCTAATGCATTTGCAATTAAATCACTATAATTGTTATTGTTATTACGGTGAGCATGATTAACATTTAATTGTTCTATTAAAACTGGATTTTGTTTAGGTGCAACTGTCGAAGGAAATGTATTTATATTTGATTTAGCTGACAGTACAGATGCATGATGAGATGATGATGGTGATGATGACAGTAAAGAATTTGTCGGCCATAAAACAGATGTTATTGATGTACATTGTTGTTCATAGGTTGCAACTGAAGCAACATGTGCAGCTACCATTGCTACGGATGCTGATGCTGATGGTGTGGTTGATGTCATTGAAGAGCCTAGTGAATTAGGCACTGAAAGAGTTGATGTAAAACTCGGTACTGAGGATAATGAAGAGATTGACGAGCAATTTGAGGAGGATATGGAAGAATCAATATTATTGTTGAGAGTGGTAGTACTATTATGTATTTTTTGAGGAATCGCGTTATTATTATCATTATTATTGTTATAGTGATTAGATGGACAGTATAATAACTGACCAACTGATGTTTTGACAAGAACTAGTCCATCAGGTTGTAAATTTGGTAATATAACAGAGGAATTATTTATTGGTAATGTGGACTGTAAACGATTACCATTATTTACTAAAGATGAAGTTGATGGAGAAGACGACTGATTTCGATGATTATTTGAAGTGATTGTCATAAGGTTATCTAACGCCAAGGGAAAATTTAGTTGTTTTGAATCGATTTCGTGTTGCTGTTTACTATCGACAGGTCCAAGAAGTTTGTTATGTAAATCTAATGTATCCGAATTTCGACTGAATAAATTTGACTGTTGTTGAGATCTCAAGGCTAAAAATGCCTCATATGGATAAGATAACTGTGAACTATCATTATTCACCATATTTCCTTGTTGTCTTATATCAAATGAATACGGTGGTAAAGATGAATTTATAGGAAGAAGATGGGCTAGTGCAGCTTGACTAGAGGGATTTAAATTGATATGATTATATTGGGTCGTTTTATCATCTTGTATTACTGTAGAATATGAACAGTTTTCTTAAAAGGAAAAAGCGAAAATCTTTCATTCAACTTCGAAAAAATCAAAATATATCAAAATTTACTGTAATAGAAGCAAATTTGTTTACAGACTGATATCAGCTGAAGAATAATTTAAAAAAATAATATTGTGGTGAGGGATTGAGTTTTTTTAAATTATATAATGACAACTTGGTGTCAAAAATGAACTCAAGTTGAAAATATCGATATCGAATAATTGAAAGATCTATTACTCAGTGGAAAACAGAGTGTATTATTGGTGTCTTTATACTGTCATATCTATCAGGAGTTTAGACTATCGATTAAACTTTAAACTGAAATTCAAATTTTCCCTTGTTTTTCTTTAGATAAACATCTAAACCATTTCGATTTTTGAAAATTCAAATGAATGACGACATTATTAATAGTAAGTAAACTATTATTGTGGATGCGCACTACTGAGGAGTCTCATACTAGAACGAAACGGCAGTCTAGTGCTATCAGGTTTTCCGTGGTGATCTAGACTTGATCGACTGACTCATGAATTCAACTACTAAACTATCAAGTATTTATTTATTTATTTCAAAAACTACATCAAGTAATATCAGTAATTAACAGAAAAATTGGTCAAATGTATTTTATTCCCGTTAAAAACTATATTGGTCAAAGTCATATAAATTAGATATATATACAGTTTTCTTTTTCCAATGTGTTAATAACTAAGAATGTTATTCCGTATTGGGATGTTCTTTTACAGTTATCAGATTTATACTGACTTAGTGACAATTTATTTACTGAAAACACTATACTGAAGTCCTACACCATTCAGCCTTACAGATTACCAGTCTTTTACAAGTTACGGAATTTCCAAATGGCATTAAAAGTGTACTTATCAGATTCATTTCTACATAACGTTGAATAGTATGAAGTACCTAATAGACCTGTTTTAGCAATAAAAAATTTCAATACAATATACGTATACACTTTTCCATTCATAAATAAATAGTTAACAGCATATATTACAGCTAATTTATACAATCTATGTATTGTCGTATCCCGTCTCTGTATAACCTCGATAAAATAAAAGCATCATGTAAACGAGCAAAAATTAACCAATTTATACCCTTGTATGATATAACTTACCTTGAGATTTACCTTTAACTAAATTTTTATTACTAATTGTAAAATTGTTTTGAACATTATTATTGATAGCTGTTGAAGAGGGGTATTTATGTAGATTTTCAAGATATAAACCATTACTTTTATTCTTTAATTCTCTATTATTAGAATGTATAAGATCATTAATATGAGGACTTCTATCAGTGACAATATCTTCAACAATTAAACTATGCATATCACTTCGATTATTTGTCATATTCAAAGGATGTGAATTTGACAATTTAATTTCATTGATCTTCTCATCGTCTGTTGATGGATGAATTCCAGATGATGTCACTGGTAATCCACCAGATGTTGAGATAGACGGTAAGGTTTTGGAACCAAGCACTCCTGCAGATACAATTTGTGCGGAACTGAGCATTGATAGATGCATAATAGCTCGTTGTTTCGTATCAGGATCCTTAATTTGAGCTTGAAGTTCTTTAGATTTTCGACGAGCCAATACTTGAATGTGACTTGAAACTTGTTTTCTGCTTCGAATCTTTCCAGTGTGTTGATATATATATCTAGCAATTAATTCATTTCGTCCTGTCACATTAAGAAGAAAATACACAAATGTACATTTTAAAAAGAATAAAATGGATGTAGTTATGAACATGATTTATCCACTTAGCATTAACAAATTCGAAGATACGAACTTCACAGAGTATATCTCAAAGCTAATAAACATTATGTTGACTGAAAATTAAAAATAACTCTGCTGAGATAAGTATACATATGATTGTTTGACAAACTCAATATCACAAGGATAATGAGAAATATTAACTAGATGAAGAGAATTTGCTTAGACGACAGACTTTAGCGTCTAGTGAAAACTGTTTTCAAATTAAAATGAATAATTTCACAGGCTACCCACATAATAATAATAATAACCCTACAACTACTGCTAATAATAATTGCAATGTTAAACGTATTACTAAATAACATTTAACTGGTATTTCCGACAATTCAGTGTTAAATGGTAACAGAACAGTTACCATTGACAGCATTGGGTAATGATTGTACTATATTACGAACCGATAGAAACTGAAAATATAGACAACTAATTTCCTAATGAATTGTCTAATAGGTTTGCGCCCACTCAGAAAATTGGGGGTCATATATTCTATTCTGTTCAGATTTCAATTGTCAACAAATGAATGGTTTCGAATTCAAGTGAAACACCCGTCAAGTGACCCATAATTTTCAATTGCTTTCCAGTTAGTATCAGTTAGTAAAGAAACACGATTTTCATGGGACCTATTTTAGGCATTTTTTCTTGAATTCAACTGCTTTTTCATATTCTGCTTTGCTTCTTTGGATGGTAAATTTTTACGGGAATGATTTCGTACACCTTTAATAATTTTCGTCTTCACTTATAAAACTAAATGCAAATGAGTATAATATAGCAAAACTTTAGATGTTTCGCTTCAATATACAGATGAATGTTCAAAGCCTTCAAGAATATTGTGTTTTATTTCCTAGTTTTGTAATGTTCGACAAAGCAGACATATACTCTCTTAAACTATAAAACGATGAACTACGACAATTTAATGTAAGCTATTATTTGGTATTCCAATAATTACAGTTTACCCATCCAAATCTCTTCGAATTTTCAGAATTTAGAAGATACTATTTGTTGTATATTTAGTTTCATTTGATCATTGTCAATCATTTTTCTAAAATGAGAATTTATTTAGACAATTAAATGGAATAAGCTCTAGTTCACTTCTAATCATACTATACATTTTGAATAAAAACAGCGGATAGTAGGAATCAAGAGGGATGAATGCAATTAAGTATTGAATAATTCCTTTTATATATTATTATATGTACGGTTAATAATTTTTTTATTTGTATATTCTGTGCGTAATCAGTTATGCTTCAGCTGAATCAATTAGGATTATTTTTTTAGGCACATCCCCCACATTAAAGTAGTTAGGATTGACTCTTGAAAATGTCAGAAAATTTATTATAAATGTCCTGAATAGTACACAAGGAACATTATTAATCTTTCTCCCGAGGCTGATGTGACATACTCTTTGTGGCCATGTACCCGTTTGGCAAATTGTTTTCCTTAAATTATTGACAAAATAATCATCCAAGTGTACATAACTCTAGGATCATTTATCAATGGTTTTATAGTTTTAATTATCACTTAATATTACCTGATGTAAAGATTTGTCAATTAATTTATATAATATCAGTTTACAAACCTCCAGTTATTAAGTTCGATTTACTTTAGTTTCAACATTCAGGAAGTATGTTTAAGTATTCCTAGGTCTAACACCTAACTCCGATTGAAGACACAGAAGAAAGAACATTACTCTAAAATTTCGAATAACTTTATTCATAAGAACGATAAAATATGGATGGTAGTTACAACAAAGTTATTGATTAGGCATAAATTGAATGACTTATATTTCCCTTACGATCTGTTATTATTAACATCAAATCAAATGGTCCTCTAGCAGTTTTATACCATAAGCTATTTAACTTGAAAACAGAATGGATATTTTTATGAACAAATGGTTAAATAATTAAGGTATCTTGTAAAAAAAACTATAAACCACTCTATTCCAAGTTAATGAGTTCCATTAGAAGATAAAACCTAATTTATTCTTAAAGTATTTCAATGTAAATTTGTCTTCAATTACAAATACTTCAAGTATTTTTTGACCAAATACATGAGCTATCCAACTTTCATATTTGGTATAGAAATACAAAATTACAAGTACCTATTTAATGGATTAGTATAAAACATATTGAAATAATTAATTATTTTCAGTTTAAGGTACACCCATTTTTTGCTTTTTTTCTGTACAGGTTAATTTGGAAATAGAACAAACAAAATTATGTGACAACACCTTTTGTTAGATAAATTCCATCACTTACTTAATAAGACAGATAAAAGGTAGATATAAGTAGACATACATTAAGTTGCCGAATTAGTTTTAGCTTACTATGAATGAATGTGTGAATACAATCCATGTCTACTGGAATTTTTCTTTTTAAATCGTTAAAATATATGTATATTGAAAGCGTGAAGTTTGATAAAGTTGATGCAATATGAACTTCAGTAAAAGTGAAATAGTGTTTGAATTTAGTAAGATTTATCCGGTAAGCACATGAATAGACTTCACACTTTAGATGAGTGACATAGACTACTATATAAAATTAAATAATTGTCATTTGTTTTGTGAAATCAGATACATGTATTGTGAATATATATTGATTATCTAACCCTATTACGTGTTATCTTAGTAAAGAATAAGAAAGTTTTGAAGTAACTAAATGAAAACAGAATAATTTCATTTAATTATTAAATTTTCAAATAATACCCGACTGAAATATAATGCAAATGAAAGCTTCGAATATTAGCTCATAATGTTCAAGACGATTGTCCAAATCAGTCACTTTAAAAACTAATATGCGGTCATTAAATTCAATTGATATTCTTTGTTTGATTCTCTTATTTCCTTGATACAGTGAATCTTCCTGCTCAACTTAAGTAAATCATCTGAAAAGTCAACAGATAATCAAAAAGTCTCCACTAAGAAATAAATAACTGATACTTATTCTTTTTATAGTTACATTTACACCGAAGTTAAGTGTCCATTTAGGGTTTATAATGAGATGATAAGAAATCATCAATACACGCGAATTACATGGTGATTTATACTTTTAACCTGTTACCTAGATATCTTTAATAGCTACCACGCACAATAAAAATTTACATCCTTTCAATCGGGTACTAGTAGTAGGAAAACGAAATTAATCATTTCTCACGCAACACAAATAAGAAGAATTTACAGCGTTATTGTCATGGATAGAGAATTAAATATTACAACAAAAATATCGATCGAAGGTAAGTGACATAGCTAGATTTGTTGACAAAATTTTAAAACTCGAATCTTTAATGTCAGTACCAAAGAGAATGTTTCATATGAGCATTGAATCTGAAGGTGATAAAGTTGAAGATATTGTGAAGATCAGGATTTCCATCTCTCTCAAAATAACATTCCTGGAATCAACTCTAACGATAGTGCTCTCCAGTCTTTCTATATTCACTAGTAGCCTTAAGCATAAGTTCTTGCTTATAACCACTTTTACGTACACTTATCAACCAACCAGTTTCTGTGTATCTAAGTAAATAGGTAGTTCGATGCGCATTTCATACAAAATAGTTTATGAACATTATGCTGCATGACTGGAAAGGGTCAGCGATGGAAGCCCAATATAAACCACCTAGTAATCAAGGTTCATTCCATCAAAAAATTAGTCGTCGTTTAAATTTATCTACAAGGTAAACGAACGCCTACTAATGATTGTTAGTTGCCATCCCCTTGGTACCATCAAAACTTTAATCATACATTTGAAGAAGCTAGGATCGCCCATAGAAAAGAAACTTATTGAATTTGTACTCATACCATGCTCTTATCGCCCAACCATCATTCTACCTCTTCCCGTCATTATATAGATCTTTTATCCCTAACTGACTTATTTCTATTTTTTATATCATCACATATCATTTCAATTTCGAAATTTCATTTTATCGTGTGACCAAGTCTATTCTAACAATTATAAATCTTCATCCAACTTCTGTAGGATTCACGATAAGTATTCAAGTTCTTAGCGATTATATTTTCAGTTTCTTCGCTATTACTATGTTTGGTAAATTTTTATTATCACCAAACTAATTATCGATTATCACTATGCAAAAGTATTTATATGCAATTGTACAGCTTTGAAAATGAATTCATCTGAAATGGAAGTTTTTGGTAAACAACTCATTCTACAAATGCCACAAGTTCACCCGTGTAATACTAAATCACGATAAACCCTCTTATTATAATAGAACTCATGGAATGGTGAAATGAAAAATACAAAAATTCTTAATGTTTCCCTTCTAGTATTGACTTCAGATTATCATGAAGATAACTTTTGAAGCATTTCGAAATAACAATGGAACTTCTCAGTACTTAAACATCAAATTAAACTACATGGCCTGTAAGTTTTAGAAAATAAATACAGTAACTTACCATACATTTTTCCCTCTTCCGATAGTATAATTTTCCTACGTCCACATGGTGGATATATTGCTAGAGCTTCCTGAAAACATTGTTCTATATCCATCGACCAAACACCTTCAACATCTGTGGAACTCGAATTCTCATGAGCATCCATATCAGAACCGGAATTACTGACACAGTCATCGTCAAAATGAAAATCTGTAGAATTTGTTGATAATCGCTTCGGCGTTGTAGGCGCTGGACGTTTACCTGATCTTATTTGATGATTAGAACTGGTATTTATCGAATTACAATAGAATGATCCATTTGAAATGGTAGTTGTGACAGAGGGAAGAGTAAGGACAGGATTAAGCGGTGGAGGGCTTCTTTTTAATTGTGTATTAAGATGATGATGAGAATGAAGATGTTGTTGTAGCGCATTATTTGATTCAGTTATCAAATGTTCATGTGTTATCCCAGAATTCTCCAAATGTAACGAAAGTGGCGATTTAGCAGAAGCATTATCAGATAATGATTTGTTTATATACATTTTAACAGATCCTAAATCTGAATCCATATTATGTTTAGATACAGTTTTACTCAAATTAATTAAAGAATTTCCCCCGCTTGAATGATTACCGTTGTTGTTGTTGTTATTGTTATGATGATGATGATTGTTATTAGAGATTGTCATTTGGACTGAATCACCATCACTACTAGAACCATTCCCATCTCCAGAGGCTGCAGCCATCGCAGATGCAGATGTGAGATTCGGGATTAAAAAACCTGGTTTACCTTTACAAATTTCCATGCTCCAAATAATATTTATATGTGTATGTGATAAATGTTTACAAGTATGTGTGCATATATGTACAAATATTTCCACCAGCTCTTTCTGTGACAAATATCTCCTCAATATATTTGTTTATATTTACGTATACTTAGTTTTTTTCCATCCAATAAATAAAATCGAAATCTGTTTTTTCTATTTATTCCTCCACTCAATAGAAAAATGGTATTATCATGTTTTGTGCTATTGTGAAATATGCTGAAGAGATGAAGCGATAATATGTGAATTAATAAACGAACACATAGGAATGAGAGAGAAGAAATTATGCTCTGTAAAATTAATCAATTTCTAAAGATAAATATATTTACATGTCTGACCTATAATGAACATATTCACAATGTCATCCTAGTTACTGTCAGTGTCACTGGATATATTGATAGGGTGAGGTAAATATACTATTTTAAGCTAAAGCAGAAGTAACGTTTTGAACTTAAATTAACTTGCTCAAAATAGAACCACTATAGACTTTAAAGACAACATTTTCTAAATTCATGACTAACCAAGCCTCAGATATTTAAAGTATATGAAGTCATTAGTATTAGGTCCGAAGTGCGTAGTGTTTTACAGATCCATTATGTCCCTCTATGTGCGTGTTGTGATGTTTGATGTGACAGGGGTGAAGGAAGTGAATAGGGAGATGAGTGGACAAAACGAAAATAGACAGATTATTCGGGTAGGAGAGTAAATGCTTCGGAATGTGCATAAATGTGTTTCGGGGGTGAGTAACTGCTAACATTAATTGTCAAAGTAATTTATTTTAAATCATAAAATCATTTACTGTTATTCCTTGTTATCTTGTCAATTTTGAGTTCAGACTTTTATACAGTTAAAAAAATCAAAATATAAATTTCTTTTATCTTCTAATTTCATTCATACAGAACCCAGTTACAAAAGTTTTATTTAAAGAACACGATATACAAATATATCCTGCCCTGTGATTGAGATAACAATTTCATTTGACCGAGTAACATAAAAATAGGCTTGTTTTTGAATTTTCACGGGTAAGATTGTAGACATGCTTTCTCTTTTCAATATTACGCACATATATAATCAATTTCAGATTTAAGAAACAACACAGTCACCATAGCAATATTTATTCAGCTTACAAGTTAGGATATTCCGTAGGCTACTCTATTGAAAAAAACTGTAAATTAGGAAAAATCGTATAAAATGATTCATTTCTTAAGAGAGCAAGTCATTGGCATAGTTGCAAAATAAGGGATGGATAGTGCAGCGTTTCAGTAACAAAGTATTCAAACGATGAATAAGACATTGGTTATATGAAATCTCAAACAATTTTCATTTCATATATTCCATTTTTTCAATAATTCTGTCTGTACAACGAGACAACTAGTGTAGTTGTAAATAAATCTTAAAAATGAATAGTTCTGTAAGTCTTAGATATCAATGCTAACCACATTAGTTTGACTAAAATCACACTAGCCGAAGGTGCTCCATCACTATTCCGCTCCAGATCACGAGTGGGTATGCCGTGCTAAGCATTCCTCAGAACTACTAGCCAGAATAAATCAAACGTTTCTCAACACACCGACAATCTTCCAAATCTATCTTCGAACTCATTCATTCCTGACTTCTGATTTGACTGGGTTGGTATCCTTTGAGTATGAAGGTGTTACAAACGGAAGCGTTATTGAACCCTGAATATCTATGCCATATTTACAAGCAACGGTAACCGAAATGACTACAATAGTATAAGCTAAACTCAGAAATTAATATAAAAGACTATCGTTGAGGGTGCAATTTATTATATATGACTAGAATTTAATGATTATGAATGGTTATGTTTGTGAACGGCAATACAAGATATTATCAGTTTGTTTAGTCACTACAGTATTTGAAACACTCAACATTAAAAGGAGTGTTTATTCTCATGTAACACCGATCACAGAAAATATCAATGCAATCACAGAAGTTACCAAAATCATCTTGTCTACTTCCTAGTCCTGATTTCGCTCCAGCGATCGATTGCTTCTAACCACCTGGTGTCATGATAAATAACTGGGTGGTGCCTTGTTTTTCACCAGATTAAAAGCCAACTAACTAATAGATAAAGATGTTGTCAAACATTGTCGTGTTCCAGCGATAAATTATTTGAATAAACATTCATAAAAAAATATTAATAATAGTCAGTTCTTAAAAAGCTCAATATAATGTATGAAGAAATTAAAGCTCATAAAATGAGTAGTATTTGTATTCTTATAGTGTTTTCGTCACGTTTGGTAACTAGCTACTATCATGTAGCTAAAAAACAAAATGCTTGGTATGGTAGATTCTTTACAATTTTAATCACACAATTATCTATCATCGACAAACATATCTCCGGACGACAGTTTATTTAGTTTATGTTTCCAAACTCTTCAGCAAGACAATTTATACCAAAAACAACAGTTTAAAAAGACAGTTATATTCTAATCAAACTCAAATTAAAACCTGAATAAAAGAGTGAATGTAAGCAAAATAACAGAAATGTTTTGTGTTTCAGTAAAAACAAGTAAATAACTTTAAAATTACAAATATTTGAAATAAAAAAATTGTTACTCATCCGCGTGTATAAATTATTATGATAATAATAATTATTATTAGATTAAAACAAACCAAACATTCATTGACACATATCATCGTAAAGATAAACAAACCATTTGACATTTATCATACTCCTGACATAATATAAGTTTAGAATCTATCTAACATGTACTAGGGAAAGAAAATATTCAATGCAATAGATAACATTTACCTATTTGTATGTAGTTGTATATTATAACTTGACATTTGCCATTTTAATGTACTCATTATTTATAAAACACATTGATTTCGTAATATTTCATTTAATTCAAACATGAGTGTCAATCGAATAAATATGCAGAAATGATTAACTATATCAATCTATCTCTCTTGCGATTTAAATAAATTTAAATCAACCACTTATCATTAGTGAGATACACATCAAAAGAGGTAGTTGATCACAAAACTCAAGAATAGATTTTAATTTGTCTTCACTTTTCTGTTGGAAAATATCTGTCAAGTGGTTCTGTTTATTGTTTAAGGGATATTTAACATAATTTTTTTAGGTTAAACATTTAAAAGGATTATGTGAAGAATTGTGTTGTGAAACCTAAAGAACCATGTAACGTATATACCAAAGTATTCAATAGTGATTTAAAAACTAAATATACTAAGTATGGTAAACACATACACCTTGATTCATAAATTCGTTTCGGAATATCTTGCTCACTTTGAAGTCTAAACATTCAAAGTTCTAGCATAAGTGGGGCTATATATGCATCTTCCTAAGTAATTTTATTTGGGAAAAAATCCATGCCATAGTCCACTCTGGTTTTCAACATTGTCTGCTCTATCATAAAATGATCGAAATCTTTCGACAATTGAAATAATTTTTAATATAATAGAACTAGTTTATTAGCAATCTTAATAGTACTTCCTGTAAGATCAATAAAATTCATTTCATTGTGTTGACAACATATACAACCGCCCAATCATGAGTAGAGGGTAACAAAGAAATATGTCTATTGACTATTCATTATTGAATTAAGGATCAAAATCTAAACAAAATGAATAATTTCTTCCAAATAGCTGTTTTCCAAACAAAGACTGTGGTTATAGCAGCCTTTTTAGTATTTAATATCAGCATCGTATCCTGTAAATCTAATAATGTTCTATTCATTTATTGGGTGAGTGATAATTATTATAGTGTGATTTTCATCAGAGTTAATTTCATTTCAGAGCAGGAAAAATGTCAGATCAAAAACACAAACATGATAAACGCTAGGACTTGAAATATTGAATAACAATTATGCTATAGTTTTAGTACTCAATCAGTAAATGAACAGTAAAATGAACTAAAGTTTTGTATATGATATATACACTTAATGAACAAAGAAGTTGTTGATAATCTCAGTAAAAATAAATCAAACAAAAGTTCCTATCACAATCTTTATTAAATATGACTAATTAGTATAAACGTGAGTAGATCCTTCAAAATACTCTGAACCCCCTTAAAGTTTTGTATTTCGATCAATGTCAACAAATGAACATCAATAAAAGACAAATATCTTTTTTTAAATTATCTCTGTTTAGTCTCATCAGCAACGTGAACTCGAAAGTATCTTATAATAAATTATATTTAGATGTTGAGAGACTCAGAAATGGGTTAATAATTGTCTTGGATGACTAATGACTTGAGAAATCAACTAACTGATTAGATAGTAAGATACATCCACTACTTCTATCTTCTTTTCACTACTTTCTTTCTGTCATAACTATGAGATAAGTGTTTATACTTAATAAATGATAAATAAATACAACATAATTTACTTTCTCCTAAACTTACAATTAACTTGACTCGTTCACATCATTGTTAATCACAAGGTTAATTAAATCGAAATCGGTAAAGAATACTCAATATGTACTCTTCTCATGTTGTTTTGATATACTTCAAAAAAAACTCTTTATTATTCACACGACTTTTAAGCAAAATAACCTTTTATATTTCGGATTTGACATTTATATCTCCAGACATTCCGTAATGTTTTTTACCTTTAACTACCGGTTTATAAACATCGATGATAAAAGTAATCTAGTCAAACAGTAAGATTAATGGTATCACCTTTTTTCAACATAAACTAGTTATAGCATTAATTATTTATTTACTGTGATTGATCATCGTTTATTAAAGTGAAAAAGAAGATATGGTAACTTACACATATAGTTAATCTCATTTTTTTTAAAAATAAATGATCCTGACATTTTTGCATAATGAACTTGGTTTTGTTCTGTGTATACATGCAAGGAGAAGTGACGGTTATACACATTAAAAGAGAGAAAGAAAGCATAATTTTGATATCCTTTCAATACATGTGTATACATCTATCAATGCATGTATGTTTGTATGTATGTTTTATATTCAAGGGGGTAAATAACGACGAGTTAGTAGGCCTGCGTATTGTTCTTTTTATCAAAGTTGATTGACATTCAGACATAAAATCAATTGTTTCAGCTGGAGAAATTTATACAAACGAATAATACACGTCAATGTATATCCCTGTTCTCCCTTCATAAACTAGCCAACAACTAGTAAACTATCATCAATTTGTTTTTCCATGTAATTATTGTAAGTGTCATTCCTTAAATTGAATTTTCAAACAATTCAGTACTCTTAT